CTCCTCCTCCTCCTCCTCCTCCTCCTCCTCCTCCTCCTCCTCCTCCTCCTCCTCTCCTCCTCCTCCTCCTCCTCCTCCACCTCCTCCTCCTCCTCCTCCTCTGCTTCTCCTTCCCTTCCCCTTTTTCAACTGGTCTACTTGACTGTATTTCCAGATCGTCCCAATTAGTCTCTTTGCAAAGTAGGCAATAGACAAACCCGAAATGCGACGAATTTTTTGGGCACCAATATCCAACTGAAGAGGTATCCATAGGGTGGCAGAACGCACACCAAGAGGGTCATGTCTGTGACAGAGATGCTACGAAGACTGCGAGCAATACAGTAGAGGTTGAGGGTCCACAGCGTGTTGAGGCCGAAACTGCGACAAAGAAGAACACTCCAGGTTGCATGTCCCTCGGTCAGTTGAATCACGTAGGCACTGAAGGGACAAGGAACACGTAAATGCAGAAGTTGTAGTACAACGAAAGGCGCAATGCATAAGTTTGTGGCTGGCCCATGTTCCATGTGCACACAGTCGTTCAGGCCTCTCATCTTCATTCGCCGCCTCCACCTCCTCCTGACCCTCCCCTAGCTAAAGGGCATTTTCGTATCGGTCCGCTGTACGATGTGTTCAAAAATGATCCAAGAAGAATTAGCCAACATTCATCTATACTGTTGAAGGTACAATACTCATGAGGCAAAGGCATCTGTTGGTCACATCAAAGTCGGTGTGCATCTGAGAAAAGAGAGAACCAACTGGGCCCGATAGCCTAATATCCCTAAGCACACCACTAACCGGTCTATTCAAGTCAACCTGTGGTAGATAAACATCAGAAAATGAGTTTTAATTTATTTTTGCTTAAATTTCGCCATATTTGAACATCCACATTATTGTTTAGTTAGGATCCGGAACAGTGATTGGGGTGTTGGTTCGGCCAGATCATCCTAGCATTGTCGACTTCACTTGAACACATTCCACCTCCCATCTAAGGGATCCACATGGGGACAAAGCATCTGAAATTGCAATGAACACGCTGAATGCAATGATGCCGCCTTGAATGTCCTCTCTTTTGCGGTTAAAAGCTGTCTACATCTCACGGCAGCCTATGCGTCCATTAGGTGTCCAGTCCAAGGTGGGCGTTTTACGCGTTAGATGGATGTGGCGGTGGGCGGAGAGCAACCGCACAACAATATCGACATTGATAGATGTGTAGTCGATTTGGAACCTTAAGAGTGTGTTGCTAGTGTGGCTGAGTGTCACCTCTCTCGCCTCCTGTTTGACGGCGTGTGAAATAGACAGCTCCTTTACAGGTGCGCCAGCTATCAGGCCTCTCCATGGGACCACACCTTCCCCTTCTTACTGTGTACCGCATTGCCATAACAACCTGTCTTTTATGACTGCAGAATTAATGCTCCTTTTCGAGTTGGAGGATCTTCAGTTGCATCTAGTCATTCAATTTTTCAACACGCAAATGATATAACAACGCAGTGGAATATTTCATTACTTCTTCCTCGGCCGCTTTTGTATAAACCTAAATAATCGGCAAAGAAACAAACCAGAGGAAATCACTCCATCTGTGTGGGATGGCTCTCACAGGTAAAACTATCCCACTAGCGAAACAGTGAATGGCAAACAAGAGTAATTACAAGGTAAAACCCAGAAAAGAGCTTACCTTATCTGATTGGAGCAGCATTCAGCATCAACACGGATTATGGCAATGGAGGGAAGATAAGGACTGCACAGAAACCCATGACACTTGTCTTACTCTTTGCAGTTAGCTGCCTTCCCGTTGTCTGTTTACTCCTGTGATCTACTGCTCCCCCCACCCCAGCAAATGACGTGTTAAAGCACCCTTGGGGATGTCCGCATGACGACGTATGTAACGCTAAGTGAGGACACTCTCGCCACCCTCCTTTACTCACCTCGGTGGCGGGAAGGAAGAGGTGTAGGGCACCACCTCCATGGCACTAACTACCCCCACATGCTGATTTTATTAAACGATTCATCTTTTCAACTGACGGTCCTTTGACTTCGGCCGAAAACATGATTTGCACTTGCTAGAAGGCGGCATTGAACCTTGAGCAGTGCAAATCAGTAGATCCATTCCACCCCGAACCCGCCCTCAATGCAGTTCACAAGGAGACCACTATGTCCCTTGTTACCTCAGTGCAGTCCAACCCTTCTGTACCCTATGAATGTACCATTTCCCACAAACCTATAAGGAATATCTCATTTTGTCTTCAAATCCACATGTTCTTTTTTCTTTTGGATATCACCTTAAAAGGCGTCGCTGCTTGAACAGGCAGTCTGGATGACAAGCGGTCAGATCACACTAACCTCGTGACTGGGTGAGTGTCATCAATCCCATAGAGGCAAGCAGCAGTCATCCTCCCTTCCCCACTATCAAAGTGTGACAACTTGCAGATTACCAATCTCCGTCTTTTCTCCCCCCTTCCCCCCTCTTCCAACTTTCGCCCATACGACACAAAATAGGGCGTCATCAACCGGCTTCACCGCACGTAAGCTTGCATTAGTTATTTCCACTTCAGGGAAAAAATATAAGCTAACAGCTCAGCCAATCGTCGAGACTTGTCATTCAGACATCAGGTGAGGTTAAAGTAAATTCTTTCAAAAGGGACAATTTTTATGACCTGTCATTTGCGGCAGTGAATTTATGGGTTCAAGCATTTGACGAGGCAAGTAATTCATCAAAAATTCCTCCCTTCTTACTGTATCCTCTCAAATGCTATTGGGTTCCAAATTTTCTGATCAACATTTTACACACCTTTCCAGTAATCCACTTTGTTTTCTACAAAAATTCAAACAATTCTTCGTTACAAAGTCCTAAATTCTTTTCCTTACTTTCAATTCGAATACGGCAAATTTGAGGCTCGCTTTTCCCACCCGCCTCGCTGTATTTGATTGACTTTCGGAGAAATAATTCGCATCTTGTCGGATGCAAAACAAATGACTGAGGTTTATGCATCCTCCAAAAAACAAAGTGGAAGAAAACGAAACTCACGTGAAGAGTCCTAACAAATTTTCGGCTCTTCTTTCCAAACAGATGGCGATGGCAAGCGAGAAGGGGATGAAGATAATGAAGGCGCAGTTGAGGAGGTAGATGAGGAGGGCTGGAGAATCGACAACCTGAATACATAAAGGAAATGCTTTCTATGTTTGGCCCTGCAACATTACCTTCAAAACGGTTTGATGCAGGGATCGTTTGCAATACACAAACTTTAAAAGATGAATTTTGGGCATATTCGTGGCATTTTCCCTTCGTAGGTTTCTTTGGACCCAATGGTTTGCCCTCGCTGCTCCTTCGCCTCCCTCAAATTAATGCACCAATTGCAAAATTTATGACTGTGCTGAAAGGCCTCTTTTCTCCATAACTTAACCCTTCCCCTTTTTACCTGACGTTTCTCACTCCACTACAAGGCAACAACGACGAATCCTGGAATAGAGGATGTGTCGGCAAGAAGAGACAGCATTCCCTCCAGTCCACTCCATTTTGTGGATCAAAAGCGGGCAAATTGACCAGATGCCAAGCTTTACATCCAGAGAGAGAGAGTCGCCTCTCCAGTAGAGAGCGCAACATGTTGTTTGAGGGTGGCTAAGCTGTCCTGACGAATGCAGGCACCACGCAAATCCCGGTGGCATTTACGAGCATGCGAAGCTAAATTAAACACATGGCATTGGCACGATTGACATGTGCAGTACTTCACCACAACGCCGGATTTGCCTGTTTTTTCGTGTCTTGAAAGGGACCAATGGAAGTGACGGTTTAAGGACGGCTCACTGGGGACCACGCACACTCCTCATACGGGTCTCACAATAGTAGGGCGAAAACAACCTCTTGAGCTGTTGACAGTGCTTGACATTGATTCGACGACTAAACACTCTGATAGATGGACGGAGGCACGGACGGATGGATGGACGAATCCGTGATCAGGCAGAACGGGGATGATTTGACAGAATGACTTAACTATACCCAATTCAATCAATCATACTTTGCGATGAAATAAATTACCGAAGAATTATGATTTCCTCTCCGATAATCTTAGCAACCGAAATTCTGCAACCGTGTTAACACTCTCCCTCCCTCCCCTGCCTCCCTCCCTCCTCCGCGTCCGCAAGGCAGATAAGACAAGACTGCACAACTGCCGAATTTAAGAAGTGGCGTCAGCGACACCGAGTTCAGGTGCTCTTTCGGCCCAAAATATCAACACATGCACACACGCACCTGCCGTTCTTTCGGTCTGCCAGAAAAACACAGTGATTCCTACCCAGGAACCCTTTTCAAGGAGCAACTCAAGAAGCCTCCACTTTTTCTTCCAAAGTAAAGCACAGAATTCTACTGTGCTAAATTTGTCAAAAAATACAATTATTTACATTGTATTTTCGCTTTCCATTCACACGGAGGAAATTCTGCCATAATTACATGGCAGTGATGCAGTCAGGGCGAATATGAATAGACTCCACTGTTTCCTTCTCCCCGCCCGCCTCCATCCTCACCACAGCACAGTCGCCCCTTGATGGTTCCAAAAGGATGAGTAGTAAATTTCCCACCAACTCTAAACACTTCGTACCCAATCGTCTGACATTTTGACCATGGGTAAATTAATTTACCAACTTGAATAAACAACGTTTTGGTGTTTCAGGCCACTTTTTACGGACTTGAAAATAAAGGTTTCCTGTTATAAATTTGCATGTACAAAGCAATTAAAAACCCATAAAAGTAAATCAAAGGGCAGATTTTTCCACCAACACTGTGAACAGAACTTGCGTCCTTCAAATTCACCACCATTATACTTCAGGCACATCGTGGAGATTGGAGCCCACTAATCAAATGTGGGTGGCTTTCAGGGCAGCCTACATGAAATCGACCACCACTGCTTCTCCTCACACACCCCACCACTCCCCACAACCCCAGCTCCAAGATATCGCCTCCTAGTTGTTGGAGCACCATCAACTTTAAGAACAAAGAAGAAGGCTTCTGACTGAGTCATCCTCCCTTTGACTCACCTCATCCAACTCCATTGTGGCATTCACAGTTGTTGCGTTTTGGGGTAGGTGGAAGAACCACTTGATGGAGTTGAAAAAGACATTCATCGAGACGGCAAAGAGGAGAGAAGTGAGTAGGAAGAGAGCACACCTTCGCACAACACGACGAATTCGACGACCCACATCACCCGGCGACACTTTGGTGACGCGGAGAGCCGAACGATGGAAAAGGAGGCGACGTTCTGCAGCGCCACCACTTGCCAGTGTTGTACTTGCTGTTGGAGGCACTGCTGAGGAATCCTCCAAACATCCACTTTGTCGGCCTCGAGGAAA